CCCCCAGCCGTGAATCGCGGCTTGACCATATCAATGGCGGTCGGAAGCCGATTTCTCTTCCCGTTATGCATGGCATCAAGCTGAGTGAATGACCCCGATAAATCTATTCCTGGACTCATCATGCTAATCTCCCCACAGTGTCGCAATCGCACTTCCGGTATTACATTGGAAGCGAGGGCGCCTTATGACTGCCGGACGAGTAGTTTTTTCTTATAGTGAAGTTTTATGGGAGGCTACTTTCTCACGCTTGTTATGGACGTAGCGTGCCTTGGTGCGGAAATATCTTAGTCACCTTATGCGTGAACGTGCAAGGCGCAGAGATGACTTTTAGGTGTCTATTGATTGCGATAACAATAGTTGTTGCCGGTGTTACTCAATTCTACACTGCTTCGGCTTGTGGCATTTGAAACGTACTCGGGGAAGCGACAGCAGCTAAAAACAATACATAAAAAATAACATTATTTCAATCGGAACTTTCATTCCTTTAAACATTATGTTCTCAGGCGCAGTAATTGTTGAGGTTCCAACGCATGTTTGTGAGGTAAACGCTTATGTACCCTGCCGTCCACTCTAGTGTTTGATTAGAACCCAACGGTTGGGTTTCGCTAAACACACTGCTCGCTTAAATCTGCTGCCGTCGTACCTTTTCTTCTTCATCTGAAATATCCTTAGATATCTAAATTCAATCACTCTTTTGAGATCTTGTTTTTGTAATATAATAATTATCAACGTTGTTTGAAGTACTTATCGACGCAAATTTTATTTTCGCTTTGATGTGCTTATGAGTCTTGATTTTCACCTTCAACATAAGTTCGTTTGTGAAAAAAAGTCCCAGATTTCAGCATAAAGCAATATTAAGCCTACCGATTAAAGGGCCAAAGTTTCGCCTATGACTAAACGGAAAGCAGCAGTTTTGATTTGTTTTATGTTTCAACAATGTTGCAATGCATCATGATCCGACAATTATACCAATCAAAAGGAAGTCCGGCAGTTTGTATACGTTGTTATTAAATAGATAATAGCTGACACCTTTTTTAAGAAAGCGGCTGTGAACTTCGAAAGCCCTTATTCGGAACGTCCTGGCACTCGGATAAAGGAGCAATCGAAGGCTTTCAGCGCTCCATGATTTTCCTTTATTTTTATGTGTATAACTAACAGGTAACTAGAGAAAACAATCATTTTCATGGCACAGCAACTTCAGAACGTTTGGGCATTTTTGTGCGTATTTATGAGCCTGGCTATACCAAACTCTTATACTTTCCCCTTTTCTAGCTTCCCTGTTTTTCTAAAGATAGAGCGTTCTTAAATTTGTTCACGCCAGTGAGTTAAATAAAGCAAAAAGAGGAGCCCCTGGAAGCCTATCTCTAGGCATCTTAAGATTTTGAAATTTCACACATGCATTTCGTCAGGTGCGGAATACTGAGTTAGAGCTGCAGAGCGTTGTTTCATGCAAAACCGAGGAGATTATATAACCACAGAATAAAAAAGAAATATATCGCATTTTTTTCCTGTGGTGCTTCACTTAAATCTTAACACTTCACTTAACAACAATTTTTCTTAAGTTTGTGTTGAGCCAACACACGCTACGCTGTTCACATTTTTTCCTCTCATTTCAAGAACCGTTTTTTAGCTCCATTCAGCTGATTCTGGCGCGTCATAAATTAGAAGAGAAGCATATCTACTACAAATACCATATAAATCGTTTTTCAAAAATTGCATATTTTGTTCCGGCGGAGCAATTACTTCACACAAAACTATTTGCATGATGCTCAGCGGCATGGCAGAATTCTCAAAGAAAAAAAATAACAGTTCACGAATCAAAAAAATACACATAATTAAAAGTTATGTAATTGTAATATCGTTTAGAGGAAGTAGCTCACGATAGAAGATTGTGAATAAAGAAAAACAGACAATGAATTGAGGTGCCTATCAGAGACTTAGCTCTCCACATTAGTCTGCATTCCGTAAGTAATGCAAACAAAGTGGGGTTCCTGCGCTCAAAAATTTATTTGGCAAGCGGGGAAGCAAACATACGTTAACAGAACTTAAGAGCGAAAAGCGAAATCCAGAAATCTTAACGCGCAAGTAGATTCCAATTTGTTATATGTTACCGCGAATTTTGAAATGCGACGCCATTGTGTGGAAGAATCATTAAGGGGATGTTCACTTTTCATTGCGGTTTTGACAAGTGCAGTTGGCCATTGCATCGGAAACATAAATATAGCTCTAGGGAGCCAAATATAAAATTGTTAGCACCATAAGAATAGTTGGATAAAGAGTTAAAGGGACACTGACAGGGTATTTATGCGTGCAAAGGTTTTTATTTGTACATGGCATATGAGAGCCCAACTACCCAGAACACAATTTGCGCCTCGAAATGTGCTTCCTTTCCGCTCGAAAACCGTCTATCGTTTAGACACAAACGCCAAATATAATGAAAGTCGTCGGTCATCGAAGGCCCACACTCATTATTAAGAATATAATGAAATACGATACCCATTTTTGTGGCTTCTAAAAAACTGCAAATGCGTTAATTGGAAAAAGAAGAGAGAGCCGGAAGCACTGTGGTGCATTCTCTTCGTGATTCTGAATATGGCCTCGTATCGCGGGAGTCGCGGGCTGGACGGCTGAGTGAAGCGGACTGAGCGATAATAATAATAATAATAATAATAATAATAATAATAATAATAATAATAATAATAATAATAATAATAATAATAATAATAATAATAATAATAATAATCAATCAATCAATCAATCAATCAATCTTTATTATACAGTGCCCAGGAACAACCCTGAGGTCTTGGTGCTGGTACACTGGTGGATAAAAAAAAACAAAACACACTATACACATCTCTGCAGAAAATAAGATACATTTTTAGCATAATACTAGGCAGTGCACGAGTAATTAGTACAATGAAATAAAAACGAGGCAGTAACAGTAGAGACGGAACACAAGACCGAAGGACAACAACTGCACCACCAGAAAACACGACATGGAGATGACGACATTCAGACATAACAAAGCAATTCAGCAATGCTCATCCTGCACGGGCAAGTTTTTAATAGAAAGGACAAACGTCCTGTAGCAAAGGTTGAAAATATCAAGTTTTTCAGAGTAATGATTCAAACGCTGAGCCATTCTCACAATTGGGTTTACCGGACTAAACATTCTAGAAACATAAAAAGATGACAGAAGACGAGTAGGCACACGTGGGACCCTAAGGCACAGTTCAGATAACAGGCTCGGAGAATTGACGAGTCCATGCAGCGTTTTAAACAAAAATAGTAAGTCCGCGTTCTCCCGACGCCGGTGCAAGCTAAGCAAACCAACACGCTCTAACGCAGACTCATATGTTAAACAGTGAACATCCTCCTTTATGTAGCGATGTTTAAAGATAGAAACAAACTTTTTTTGCACACGTTCGATCTCCAAGGAGTGACTTTTAGAAATTCCATTCCAAACAACTGAGGCATATTCTAACTGTGACCTGGATAGCGAGCAGTATAACGTGATAAAAGCCGTCGGGTTTTTGAACTCCCTGGTTAAGCGAGAGGCAACACCCAACATTCGCAAAGACGAGTTAACCAGCCTACCAACGTGATCAGAGAAACGCAACCCAGAATCAACCATGACTCCGAGATCTTTCATTACACTTACTCGAGACAAAGTCTCTCCTTGAATATTATATGCAAAAGAGATATTGTGAGTTTTCCGAGAGAGCGTCATGACCTTGGTTTTGGACGGGTTCAAGAGAAGGTCATTTTCAGAGCACCATCGGTAGAAAGAACATGCATCTTCCTGGAGCTTAGCACAATCACGTTCAGTAACTATTTCTCGATAAATTTTTATATCGTCAGCATATTGCAGGAATGAAGAATTTAAAACAGCAAAAGAGACGTCATTTACGAAAATTGTGAACAGAAGGGGTCCTAAAACAGATCCCTGAGGAACGCCAGAGCGAGTCCTGTACAACGAAGAGTTCATGTTGTTAACCCGGACATATGCCTCTCTCTCTGACAAGTAGCTTTTTAACCAGTCATGTACTGAGCCACATACTCCATAGGAGGAAAGTTTGGATAAAAGAATGATGTGATTGACAACGTCAAAAGCCTTACTTAAGTCAAAGTAGACAACGTCCAACTGACCTCTGTTACATAATAATAATAATAATAATAATAATAATAATAATAATAATAATAATAATAATAATAGTCCTTATTTTATGTGTCCACAAACAGCGCAGGGCCTTTTGTGTGGTATACAGCCAATGCCGACAAGACAAAAAAGTATGAGCACTGAGAAAGCTTAGCTGTCCCAAAAAAAGAACTCACAAAACAAGCACAGAAGACATAGGGACATCTGATGATGGCGGCGAAAGATGGGCGGATGGAATCTTCTTCAAATTGTTTAACGATCAAAGCTATTGGGATTTGTTCGTACGACACGACCAAGCTGATTCGCACGAATACGTCGCCGAGTCATCGCCCCTTCTCCTGGCTAAAGACATGGCTCGCCATACGAGTACAAAAACGAATTGGTAAAGGCTTAAAAAACGTGCAAACGTCACGCTCGAAGTGCTTGACTTTTGCGTTTGTCGGGCAACCTGCTACGTACGCATTTTTCGTCTGCTACGCACGGCCAAAGAAGCAAAAAAAAAATAAAAAAAAATAACACGCCATCAAGTGCACGTGATTTCCGGCAACTCTTTCCTCCTCTACATTTATTTAATTTTCCTCTCCAGTCCAGTTTCGGTTTCGGTTTTGAACAGTTGCCTTTTTTTTTACTGTATTCAAGATTTACTTGACGCCGTAGAAAAATATTGATGGGGTAGTCTTCTGTCACCATATTAAATCGCTTGTCGGAAAATCTCAAAAATTGGGGGAGGGGGGGGGGGCGGAGGGGGTGTCAGTGCATCTTAAAGTTGTAGTTGTTGTCCAAACTGAAAGATGCCGTTGTTTCGCTAAGAATAACACGAACGGATTCTGAAGTACTGAGCATGCATATATATTGTAATAAGGGTATTCGTAGAGGCTACAATTCTTTTGTTGGTTGATTAAAACACATCTTTCCTTGATAAATACTCATCTGGTCTTTTCCATTCACACCTTCGTATAACCACTTCTTATCGTAATATTTCATTTAACCTTTAATGCTGATGTTTGGACTTGACATTTGCAGCTACCTTTGACTGTGTTCTGCTTGGTCATCGCCGTTGCTTCAGCCGGCTACGGTCTTGGACTTGGATACGGACTTGGCTACGGAGGCATTGGATACGGCGGAATCGGATACGGCGCGCTCGGACGTGGCTATGGAAGTTACGGAATTGGCATTGGAGGTCTAGGCTACGGAGGCCTAGGCTACGGAGGCCTAGGCTACGGAGGCCTAGGCTACCGAGGCCTGGGCTACGGAGTCCTGGGCTACGGTGGCCTAAGCTACGGTGCCCTTGGCTACGGGGGTATCGGTTTCGGCGGCGGCGGATACGGCGGAGGTTTCAAGAAAGTGATCGGCTACGGGTACGGAGGTGGACTGTATGGTTGACACACCCAGAGCAACGCACGCACATGCGTACAAAATGAGCTAATATTAATAAAAATTGTTACTCGTCGAAAGTGACTTTTCGGCCAGTTGAAAAAAAGCAATAAATCTGTTATTTTTTATTTGCCACTGAAAATGTACGCGTTATGATTTTTTATGCGTCTTGTCATTAACAAACCCGCGTATACATCGTGTAGCATGTGACACTCCCTCCTCCTCCACAAAAAAAAAAGAACAGCCAAATATAAACGCTTTTTTCGAAGAATTATTACTTCGGGGCAAACCTAATGTTCTAGTCTTTTTTTTTTCTCATTGATCTTCTTAAGAATGCTTGACCTTGCGTTCATAAAAATAATAACATCCACAGCCTCGCTGTTTTATTTCGTTCAGGCTTAACGCCCACTCTGCCCAGAAGACCTTGGATCTCACACGAGCGAGAGAAAAGAGAAATACTCAAACAAAAAACCAGCAATATACAGAAGCGGTTGCAGAAGAAACCTGTTCCCCGTCCTCGACGGGTAGCGACAAATTGTTCTCGTTTTCACCTTGTTTCCACTTACTTCGGCAGCCGTCGCAATCCCAGAGTGCGACATGGAATGTACTTTCCAACCGGTGTCAGACCGGCTACGAAGAAAAAAAAGAGACCACGTACAGGCCAACTTTTGCTGCGGCGCGGTGCCTTGCAAAATTTTTCAACCTCCTGTGCTTATCGGGGCGTATATTCAGAACATGCAACGTGCTGCCACGCACAGGCTGCCGAGGGCAGAGGTTGTAAGCAATGCACAGGTGCAAGCTGTCTGGAAGCGCCAGACAGAAACGGTGCCAAGCATCCCCCGTCGTTCCCTAAGCAGATGAATGCGTGCGGCACCTAGAGTCAATTTTGGGGGTCCCTGTGTTCCCCAGGTCCCCATGCACGCTCATCATTAGTTGCTTTTGTGGTTACCAAACCGCATTATGCATATAATTAAATGTTTCTCCCGACCAATCCGCGCCAGTAAGGCCTGTAACGCAGCTGTTCCGTTTCATCCTACAGGGGTGGATTCGCAGTGCGCCGTGGCTTTATCGAGCAGTCGATGCGTTTTTAGGCTTCCGTGAGCCAGACCCCTTTTGAAACCGGGCCACATCACAAAATATCGTAAGTTTTTATTTGAGACAATATTATGTAGTGTCATCACTATGTTACTTGCTTCAGTCAGGTCTCGGATTCCACAATGATCTGTTTTGAATCTATCTCCCTCTTTCCGAGGTGCATTGATGATTTACCTGATTTAGTAAATCCATGAGTCCGTCATTTGCTATAGCGCTTTCGTAATTTGTCGTCAAATAAATGTAGGCACTGACAGATTAAGGAACACGGGCTTCGATTGTCCCTAGTATGTTATTATAGCTCCGCAATTGATGATGTGGCACCATTTGCCGATGACAATGTTGAAGAACGAATTGAGAACTAAGAAGACTGAGCAAAATAAGCCACACCCTTCATTTTTTAGGCTCCCGGTGGCTGTAACAACCTCAATGTTTCTTTCCAGCAAAGTGGGCTTAATCACAGCAAAGATAGTAGGAAACGTGATTCGTAAAATTAAACATTAACTAGTGTAAGGTTATGCATGTCTCACCAATGCGCTTTTCTGCTTACAACACCTTGAATACCAGTGCTTTGAAGTTGGCTACGCTGTCTATATAAAAATATACTATGCAAAACTGTCTTTAGCTTAAATATTACACCAATAATATTAGTAATAATAATAATAATAATAATAATAATAGTTATAATCATAATAATAATATTATTATTATTATTATTATTATTATTATTATTATTATTATTATTATTATTATTATTATTATTATCGTATGCTTAAATACCGACGACATTTTTCAAAAGCATTTCTTTCCGTTAAACAAACTCAATAAAAGTTATTACGTTCAAAGCTGCAATATCGTATATCACATCTATTTGAAACCAAGGTCCCTCAAGCTAACATCCTCACTGAAAATGGTCCGGAAAAAGTCAGCGCGTTTTATTATACATAAGTACAATAATTTTAATTTAATTTTAATTACCCAGTCATTGACTGCGAATATTGTGAAGTATTAACTAACTGTAGAAATGCTTCTGAGTGTTCAGACACCTTGAATGTTTTCCACAAACACACTCCTCAAACAGGTTATTCTTGAGCCTACTCGAAGCCACCCCATCCTAGAGTTATTTTCCAAGACTGTTCCTGAAAAATTTGGGTGCGTGAATGTTCTCGGGGAAATCAGCGATCATAAAATGGTTTTAATCGAAGCGGATACCGTTATTCAGCACCACCGTAACAAGTATAAAGTGAGAAAAGAGTAATTGAAGAAAGAGTAATAAACAGGCGAGGCTGGATGATGTTACACTTATCTGAATAAAAACGGAGACGACGAGTATTTCAAAGCTATGGCTGCCGAAATTAGCACAGCCGTGAAAACTTTTTCTAATGACTGCAATAGGTCTTGCCACTTACGGACTGTTTAAGAAAATTGAATAGCCTTTAAATATAAACTAATATCTATGCTCAACAAGTTTGTACCAAGGATCAAAATATCGAACAAACCTCAACGTCTGTGGTTATCAAAAACCTAAAGTGCTTTCTTAAAAAACAAGAACAGGAGAAAAAAAAACTTTTGTTTAACAAGCCTGCGGACAGGAACGACCACGTGTCCTGGGATTTATATAGTTTCCATTCAATGACATGCGTATCTGAAATAATAAAATCTAAAGTGTCATTTTATAAAGATCATTTAAACTGCCGCTTGAAGTCAAACCCCTAAACACCTATTTGGATTGCATAAACCAGGTGCGGCCAAGCTGACCCTGCCTAAGAGCCGCAAACAAAGCCACAAAACTTCCAAGAGCCGCAGGGGGGGGGGGGGGGGGCAAACTTTTGTCCAGAACAATAAACGAAACTCGAACTTCTTTCAATTTATCCGAGTCAAAAGCAGTTAATTTGTACGTAAGGTAGCACAAGACTACCAAACTGCAACCTGCCTTTCGATTTAAAACGCGTTCCATGTCTCTTTTTGGAGAAGTTCTCGTGTGACCGCGAGGGTGGCTGGGGGGGGGGGGAGGGGGGAGGGGGGGGGGGGCGTAGAGGAGGGAGCCGCGAGCCGCACTTTAACACGCGAAGAGCCGCATGCGGCTCGCGAGCCGTAGCTTGGCCGCCCCTGGCATAAACCCACAGAAATCAAAGTATATTTACTATGGCTTTACAGATAATGAAGGAAAAGCATATCGGGATCTTAAAAACTGAAAACGATTTTAATAATTTTTTAAGTGAGTTTTTCACAAAAGAATCGTTCTCCCTACCCTCTCCTGCAATGACCCTTAACTACGATTTTTTGGAAAATATAACGGCATGTCCAGGTGGCATAAGTAAAGTAGTCGAAGGCCGACCATATCGATCCTCGCCAGGTATAGACCGACACGCGGAGCGGCTCTGTTTACCAACACGGCCGGGAGGCCGCGCATGCGCGTTAGCTATGTGGGCAAAAGCAGCCCGGCCCTCCGTGTTTTCGCCATTGCGCTCTATGGCGTGCGCTCGTTGTTGACGTTGTAGGGACGCTTGTACCTTTATTTCTGCGTCGTATTTCCTCATAACGTATGTCGTATGCTATGCCCGACTATTTGAACTCGTTGCCCGAGCCTGAACGGTAGCGGTATCGAAACAAACTGTGCGTGGACGGCTTTCCCTACGAGAATCCGTACGCCGTAAACAAGGCCTGCTGGACTTCCGACGTAAAGTTGCTGCCACGGAAGTCGACGGCTTAGGTCGTCGTTTATTTAGTTTTTTCGCCAAGCCAGTTCACGGCCGACACGGTGCAGGCGTACAAGTCTCTCGAGGCTACGATTACATCGAGTGGGTTTCCGCACTGCCGGCGGGATCAGCAGACTGTGGGTCTGCGGAAGTGCGTGTATTCATTAATTGATTAAATACACAGAGCGTCTTCAAGTCAAGGTATGATATTTTTCATACCCTCATGACCACAAGGCATTACAACCAGTAAAGGTTTGCCCGTTCTGCAGTCTTGGCGGTAACAGGTTACAAGTAACGGCGTTACTAGGAACGCGTTACTTTTTTCAGCAACGTAGTAATCTGCTCGTTACGTTTTCGACACAGTAACGGGTAACGTACTTATGTTACAATTTCTAGTAACGTAGTTACGTTAGTCATTACTACTTCCCAAGTCTTAAACAAATTACACTTCAATTGTTTCCGTGTTTTAGGCGTCAAGCCATGTTGTTCTTTGCGGTTCTTTTTTTTTTCGTAAGTATTTAGGTGAAACCGTAAAAAGAGATAGAGTAATTATGTTCAGTTTCTGCATGAACATAATGTTTCTTGATATATGTCCTGTATCGTCAAAACCGTAAAATGTGTCAAATCATTATTTTAAAAAATAACGCACAAGTAACGTGCCTTACTTTTTATCGGTAGCGGCAACGCGTTCCTTTTATTTTTAGATAACGTAGCTCGGTAACGCGTACCTTTGATTTGCAAGTAACGAGTAACATATTTCGTTACTTTTTTTTTTTTTGGTAACGCCTACAACACTGCCGTTCTGTCGCCAATCCCCTTCTGCTGGGTAGCACGGGCGTGGCGAGCCTCCGACGAGCGCTTGGCCGGTGCGTTGTGCGCGAACACCGTGGGAACAAAATCCGGGTGGTCTCGATCAGACAACGGTTTCCCTGCGCATAAGCAAGGCTCGGGACGGAGATTGAAATGGAAGCCGCACTTGCCTCCAAGAAAGTGTTTGCCGCGCAAACCGTCGTTCGCGCGAGGCGACCATTCTTTTCGATCCACGGATATTATCCACCTTCTATGCCTTTCAGAGTCTGCCGGGAACTTGTGGAAACTCACTCCGCTGCTTTTCTTGTACATTTCGGTGCAATTAACGGCAACACAGCTTCGCGGCATGTTGAAATGCTATGACGCCCACGCGAAACGTGCGCGCTTTTGCCCACACCCCCCGGCTCCGGCGCGATCGCAGCGCCGCCGCAGCTCCGTGACGTCAAGCCCGCGTGTCGGTGTATAGACGTGTTACTACTAATCTGTTAAAACTCACCGAACCTTTCTTCCGCAACCTTCTGGCTTTTTTGTACCAGCAATTTCTCGATGAAGGAAGTTTGCCAAAAAAATGGACGAATGCGAAGGTGACTCCTGTTCACAAGTCTAGTGCCACTTTATGTTTAGATAATTATAGACCGATATCGCTTAAAAGTGTCCCATGTAAAATTCTAGAACATATGTTATTTATAGTCACATAATTAATTTGCTTTTGGATAACGATATTTTTTTTGAAGGACAACACGGCTCCAGGAAAAGTAAATTGTGTGAAATAATTTTTTTGTACTAGGGTCAGGTCTTTAAGATAATGGTCATTTATTTGACAAAACCGACCTTGTATTTTTTTTTTTTTACTTTTCAAAGGCCTTTAATGCGTGCCTTATAGACGGGTATTACAAAAGCTTGAATTCATAAACATAGAACCCTTGCAAGTACAGTGGATTAGAGAGTTCTTTTTTTTTTTCTAATAGAAAACATTATGTAGTTTCAGGAAACGAGTATGGACGTGAAGTCTGGTATGCCCCAGGGCTGTGGTAGGCCCGCTACTCTTTCTTATACAGATAAATGATCTGGCCGTTGGCATGTCTTCATTGATTTCGAAACAACATAATTTATATACTTTTATGTTGTAGTAAGTGGCAAATACGTATTAACATCAATAAAATCAAATTTATTACTGTACCAATGACTAAAACCAAAATAGGTTGCAATTACACAATGAACGGTGCCCTCCTTGAAAAAATTATGAAATATGAATATCTGCGAGTTCTTTTTCTGATAACCTAAGTTGGCATGAACACATTGATTACACTGTTAATAAGGCAAGTTGGTCATTGGGGTTCATTAGATAAAAATTGTTTTTAGCCTCTATCGAAACTCGTCTTTTAGCTTTTAAATCCTTGGTCAGGTCTCAGCTTGAGTATGTCGGTATCAAATGGCCTCCTTATCAAGATTAACTGATAAACAAAATAAAAATAAATCATAACGAGTGAGCACGTTTCATATATAAAGACTATTCACCATTTACGCGAGTAGCGGCCCTCAAAAGTAAAGCGAATTTGACTTTATAGGACGCCTGACGTAAGGTTTCCCGTCTCGCGTTCGCTCGCAACATTTTTTTTTTGTTGTTTTAATTTTCTCGTAAAGGAGCGGCGATAACTTCCCGCTTATCGCATTTTTTTCCTGGATACAACCTTCATAATAAAGTTCGGTTACAAACATGTTGTACTAACCAATTTTCCAACGCCCCGTTGCAGCCTGCAATTTCCGAGTGGAACTCTCTGTCTCATAATATTGCGGGTATTACAGATAGAATTAAATTCAAATCATTCTGCGAATTACTACTTTACGGTATTCAGGAATGAGGCGTGTGTGCGTTTGAATTTCTCTGTATCGTATTTATTCACATTGATATCGTGTTCATATATTTTTTTTTTCTAGATTGATACGATTCTTCTTTTTTGTTTGTTTAATAAGTGCGTTACTGCTAGTGCTATTTTGTACCAATAATTTTTTTTATCCGCCCTTTGATATAATAGCCTAAACAGGCGACTCGAGATATGTTCAATACCCTTTTTGCTTTAAAGTATACAAACGCCCCGGTAGCATCACGCCGATGAAACGAACGCCGTCTTTGAGTCCTCTCGAACTACTTCCGTAGGAGACTATTTAGCAAAATGTATCATCGTAATGCGTCAGTTTATTTCTATCCTCCATTTCATATTAGCTCCGACCGCAATCAATGCTACGATTCGATAGCGCCAATCGAGAAGCGCGAAAAGTCCATCTTCACAGCCCTCGTCGCCTTGTGCGTTATACTATCACTAACTAAACAGATATCGCGAGAAAAAAACGCAGTATAACCGGGAATTTACTGCGCGAGATTAGATAAGCCGGAGATAGAAAACGCACAGAGACATGGAGCGCCGTGACGATTCACTTTAAGCTACGCTTAGTTGGCTCCATCGAATCGAAAGGTTGGCTGCGGTCTTGAGTGAAACAAAATAGAGCCCATCTTCTCCCTCTTCTCACACAGATTTACATCAAAGCGCCTGTCATTACTTGCAATAGCAACTTGTTCTATAGAGCATTTTAACTGAATGGATCTAGCTTTCGGAAGACATTGTATCAGTAACGAACTAAAACTTGCTTTGTTTAATCACTCAAGGTTTTTTTTTTATGCGTACCATTTAACGATGCTTTGCTCTATGACATTATTTATTTTTATTCTGACCCTGTTTATCAGGTGTGCCCATCTTAAGTTTTGCTGTTTTTCCCCCTCCCTTTTCAAACACTTTTGTGCGCGAGGGCAACTAAATAATTCAATAGTCATTTATATATATATATAGATATATATAATTGAGAAAATAAACCATAACATACAAAATTATTTTCTCCTAATACGTTTCCTGAACGCAATCTAGAGAGTGTCAAGCGATCTTACTATTTTTTTTTTTAGGAGAGCCATACTTTTTTGATCTTGCACTCAGAGTAGAATTCTGCTCTTTCGCTTCATGTGTTCTACCACTAGATAAAAAAAATACAGACGGGAGGGTTTTCTTAAGTTTCTGAATGCCCAAGCAGTGCATTGTAACATGACTCAGTACCGCTCCTATTACGATCGCACAGTATCGGTACAAGCTGTATAGTGCTCACCAAACATATGAAACATCCTCGAACTGTATGTAATCTAATGGGAACGCTTTCTCTTGTTTTGCTGCATTCGAAGGAACACTTCATGACGTAGCGCTAAATAAAATGACCCGAGCAGTGAGGGCCCGCCACTCAAGGCTGGAAATCTCTGTTGGATCGGAGTCAACGCAGCAACTTTCCCTGCCGGACGATATAATCTTTTCGCAGCCCCCTCGCGCAATGGTGCATAGGTTACAACCAAATTCGACAGTTAATGAATCACTCATTCATCACAAAGACGAGAGGTCTCCCGATAGAAACGCCTAATTTTGGAAATTTAAGCAGTCCCCAATGCCCCTTCGTATGAGGCGTGGAGGAAGTAGGTGTGGATCTCAGGTCCAGTAAAACTGCTGCGTTGTTCCACGTTCAAGGCACGGTTTCAGCCTGAGAGAGTGCTCCCTCTCCAACTCGGGCTTTTCCATTTAGCGCCACGTCACGGAGCTCTCCTTCGGCTGCCGCAAGGATAGAGGTCCGATGCGATGAAACACAGGTCGCGTATTCCATATCAATTTGGCGTTCACTTTACATATGTATATGCGTATGTATGACCGCCAATTGGATCTCGTGTCGATCTGTCTGTGTAACCGCTGTAACAAATCAGCGCTCCCGAACCGACGTTTCATTTTTTTTCATTCATTACGGTAACAACTTATTTTTTATTTGTTTTTAGTTTTAGACGTGCCACTTGATGCTGCGTTTGGTGAGAGCATACATCCCACGAGCTCGCAGTTTTTGGTGTGAGCACGTACAGGCAATAACTGTAGGTGCTTTAAGGCAGAATCTCACGTCGCAAGGGGCTATTCAAGGTTATGATTTGGCAATGATCTAGAGAGGGTTATTTCTTTTCATTCTGAATATCGAAGGCAACCCGCGTACGGTCGCGACGTTCTCGTCGTACGAGTACTGACGTCTCAGAACTTTATAATGAGTGCCTCTCTAAACGGATAACCAGGTCAATCGGCCATTTGAAACCAGGCCGCAGTAGGCCCGCTGATAAGCTGCCCGGATCCCGAGACTGGACACTCGCCAGGACACGTGTCTCCGACGTGACAACGGGCGTCGGACAAAAACCCTGGTCGAGTGACGTACGGAACATTCATGGCGCAGCTTGGGGAAACCCTGCCTTTGTGTGTACACGACATCACAGACTTCAATACGACCTGAGTTATTCTAAAGGAGCAATAAGTTGGTGGAGTTCAGATGCATGTAATACCTTATGGTTGTCCGACTCTGGGTTTATTCTTTCCTCCAGGAAAAAACGTGGGTCATAGACCACCTTTGTCATTTAAATTTTTTTTTTCCTTCTTCTTAGCTGTTGAGAGGGTTTTTAGAAGAACGGCCACGATAGCCAAGTTGAAATGTGTCTGTGTTGCCAACGCTTCGGAGTCCTCATTGTCATTAAATGGCGTTTGTTTTTAACTATGACATATTAAAATTCGGGCTTGGTACGTCCTATTAATTAAAGGCATCCTTGCTTGAATCCACTTGACTTATGTTCTTGTGCCATAAAAAAATAACTTGTTTTATACCTGTGAGACTTTATCGGTAATTTTTCCCCGTGAGGTTGCCAGATATTACTTGATGATGCAATGAAATTGTTTGTTCTGAGAACTTGGAAACGGTAAACACTTGTATCTTAACTCCGGAATTAAATACAGACCAATAAGATCCGTAATTCTTCATTAAAGTCAAACATAATCGCGAAACACCTTCACACGGATACGAAATGTGCTCCAGAACGTCACCGCTCATAGGTGCGGTAACGAAATCGTTAAGTGTGCCTGAATTTATAAAAAAAAGAAAAAAAAAAAAAAAAAGAAGCATGGACTTTAAAAACTGCGGATACTTACACGCCCGTATTTGTTTCCTGTCTGTGTATAACTTATTCTTTTCAACGTCCCTCGCTCTCATAGTGAAACAAATCTAATTTATCCATTTAGAACAACATAAAATAATGCGAATAGTCATTTAGAAATAGGAGTATTGTGGCTAAATATGTTAAGATCCAAAAGCGTGGGCTCGAATCCAAGACTCGCCGCACAAATAACAAACCGCAGCAATCCACAGTTATTCCTGTTTGAAAATAAATCTAAATGCGTTTCATTCACACAAAAGTTTGCTGGCAAGTTTTATTTGAAAGAAGACGCGTAGTTTTTGTCATTCAACCATAATATCCGTGGCCGTAACCAAGATATCGGCGGTATCCTCCGTAGCCACCGTATCCTCCGTATCCTCCGTATCCTCCGTAGCCGCCATAACCGCCATAACCGCCGTAGCCACCGTAGCCTCCATAGTTCCCGTATCCCAGACCATGGCCTAGTCCAGCGTAGCTTCCCAGGCCGTATCCGAGTCCTCCGAAACCCAGGCCCCCGTAGCCATTCAGGCCGTAGCTTAGGACGAAGGTGGCTGACGTCGCAGCAATCGCGAGGCAAAGCACAGCCAGGAAAAGCTGCGGAAAAGAAAAGAATATTCATGTTTCAATCCTAGTGTGATAACGCGATGAGTCCGCAATAAGGTTCGTGCGATTAACAATGCAGAAATCAACATACTCCGCTTTTGCACCGGCAATTTTTTTTAAACAAATTTATTGGTTTACACGTTTTTTTATTTATTTATTTACTTGTAATTTTGAACAGGGAGGAAAAAATAGTCTAACTCCTGTTAAAAAAAAAGAGAAAAACATCAACTGCGAATTACGGAAGTTGTACGTTTATCATAAACGTACAACTTCCGTAATTCGCAGTTGATGTTTTTCTTTTTTTTTTTTAACAGGAGTTAGTTTTACCGTTCTTAAATTTTCCTTTCTGTGTGTCTTGATGTTGAAATATTGGTGCAGGTTGAAATCAAACAAAGTAGGCAAAGTTGAAAACATCAACTTACGAATTAAAAAAAAATCCGCATTGCTCTATTCCGCGAATTAATTCTAACATTGCTATGAGATGCTGAGATTCGTCTATGAGGTCAATCTCGATACAGGATATGTTTGAGCTGAACTTTGAATGAGATGGTGTACAGCGTATTCTATAGTCACCGACAGCATCAGAAACGCAAGGCTTTGCGATCCATGAGCATCTCATTCTCGCTCAACAGCCAATGAGATAGCGGCGCGTTAGCCGATAAGAACGACGAGGAAAGAATCACGCAGCAAGAAGCGTGATTTAACACAATGAGCCGCGCCCCCTGTTTCTCAAGCTGTAAGTGACTATAGTGTGAGGCGAAACGACCGCGGATCTGACTTAAATAGTATTCAAATTCTGCTCATTTATTCGCATTTTATCATATATATTGTCAAATGTATATACCGAAGGAATGCGGATCGCAAGTTTGTCTGCTTCCTGCACAAGGGTTGCGATGACGTCAAAACGCCGAGCTCTTATTGGCTGATTGGAAAAAAAATAGTGGGTAGACCTCAAGGCATCTAGCATTGAGGCATACACACTATCCTTCCAATCAATCCCAATCAGAACTCGGCGTTGTTCTGACTTCACTGCAAGCTCTGCGCAAGAAGCAGGCGACTTGGGGCTCTAAACTCGGCCATCGCAAAGTATGGGCCGAAGTCCAGGGAGTGTACCGATTGGGCAATAACGATGATGACATCGCGATTTTGTCGCCGGCATCGAATCGGCTCTTTTCGCAAACTTTCAGCTCCAACTTTGTATTTGAGGAGTTTAGGGCCCTTGCTTTACGCATTACTTGTTGATAACTTTAGTTTCCTTCGCATGAATTTGTGAGTATGCTAAAGTTTTTGATACGAGCAGGACTGCAGACCATTTCAATTTGAATAAACCTGTGGAACAGGAATAAATAACAAAATACATGCGTATGTCGACCCTTTCTGCACTTCTCATACCTTCTTTTCTTTAACTGGTTCTTGTATTCGAAATTTATTTCATCAATTGTACCTTATTTATCTCGGTTAAAAACTATACTTGAAGTGTAAAAAAAAATATAATGAGAGAACTGATTAAATGTCAGTTGGAATAATGAGTATCGAGTAGGGGGAGTCTTGGCAGAAACCCATGACTAAATGGCCATCTGCTGAAAAATATTTCAGCATAGAAACAAAAGCGAACAAAACAAAGTCCGTTTAAAAGTTTTTTTTTAACCTTGTACATTTTGATTGAAGGATGTGCAACATCGTTGAGTAGTGTATATTGAAAGTTTGTAAACAATTTATGAAAGTTATCACGAGCAAGACTGTGGGCCAATTACCTTAATCAGCGTTAAACTTGCACATGATTGCCCGAAAGGGGCGGGGGGGGGGGGGGGGGGGGGAGATTCTAATTATTAAACCCAAATACGAAGTGTTTTATATAAAAAAAACTGAATTATTATATCAAACATCGCTCTACTTATTCCAACATAAAATTAATTACCAGCAATAATAAAACATTTTTTGGGTGAGCGTGCGGCGCAATCTAGGAAGGTTTTCTCGGTATCATTATCATAAGAAAGAGATACCCAACTGAGCAAGACGTAAAAATCCGCCATCAATGAGTAGCCGCTGTGCAGTTTTAAACTTTTGACATCCCTAAATTGCATCGGCTTCCAATAATATCAATGTCTATACGAAGTCCCATAGCAAACATAGAAGTTATCTATAGGGTATCTTAATTACAGACGCCGTGTAACGAATATAATTTACACAATTTGGCAGATCAAAAGTATGAAAAATAACTGAAAGCGTTTATGCACCATATTTACACAGCTTGCGAGAAACACCGCAAATGTGCATACGCCGAGCTCGAAAATGAGGCACGAGATGCTTACCGTGGACCTCATTGTGGTCGTGAAGTCAACGCGTTGGCAAGGAACTGCAGCCGCCAAGCACGTCGTACGGGCTAAGCGCCGATGCCCCAAAACATGTTATATATATACCTCTGAGGTGCCCTGCATCACCAGGAGCACAACAAAAAAGCCCCCCGCGGTTTTCGTTACTAAGTGCAGGGGATACCCCTTCGTCGCATGACGCAACTCATATCATCTCCTGCTGTGAGAGTGAGCGGTGTGATATAGCGTCCTAGTGACGTCAGCCGGTGAATTCGGGGAGTCGCATTCCTCTGCCACTGACTAATCGACGCAACAACATGCAGCCCCCGGAACGTTCATTTTATTGGTGTTTTTATTTTATCGGGAACGTAATTACAACCTAGACTACGGCTTCAAATTTCGACACGCGGCAATCATCTTTCCGTTTGATGAGTCGCGTTCCGGGTGACTGACGCACTGGTCGGGAACAGGTTATCTCGCGAATCGTTTCTGCCTCCTTTGCCGGTACACTGTCTCACTTAAGATCTACACTAAGATTTAAAAGAAAGATATTAAGACAAGATAACGTTGTTTGCGTTCAGCAGGCCAAATTGCTGATGTTGGGTAATAGCTACCTTTAAGCATAATTTCTATCAACTAGACTTTAGCCTTCACCCCACTCCCTCGATCAGTTCGCACGCGGAGAAACTCTCCGATCGCCGTGTTTATGAGTACCTATTATATTTCTAACATTAACATATACTGCTGAACGCATGGCAGCAAAATGTTGCGGGGTTTTGAAAGCGGGCCTTCAACGTGTTATACATTTTATTACTAGATATAATACAAGAAAAGTGATAATTTGTTTCACGCGTATGTCGTCACGAAACTTTGGAAAAATGCAACATTTCATCTCGCACCAAGTGCTTTAATTTGCCTATGCGGTCACGCGCTTTTTTTAATTCCTTCGTCAAGGCTGCTTTCACGTGTTTCTACTTTAGTCTACACTCCCGGATTTTCTGGGTGTCTCATGGGCAGCAACATTAAAACCACTATAAACTAAAACAGGCCCTAGAAAAAAAATGTAAAACCATGTGCTGGTCTTGTATTCGCCACTCCAGTGACCTTTAGGGGGCGCCACCACCAAACAAACATGGCGGCTGGGAACAGGTCACGTCGGATCGGCCGGGCCGCCTGAACAGGCGGCGCATTCAATTGAAGAGATTTTCTTTTGTTTAATGCCCTATTTTATAGGTATTTGAACAGCGAGTGTAGCGGGTACACATAAACTTGCAGAGCATAGTTTTGTTTTCCCTGTGCTTTTTTTTACTTTTTCGTGTCAAACTTTTGTTTCGGAGATTTCGTTCAAACCCGAAAATATGGGCTCTGGAGAGGCGATAATAGACCATAATCTGTTTCGATCAGCTAAGCAAAGCGGCGATGACTACAGAATTGTTTCACCGAGAGTAATTTTCAGCTAACTCGCATGCCTCGCCCATGCGACTTATCTGTCCGCGAAATCGAGCTTTTGTTCGTATTCGCGTTTAAGAAACAGCTCCTGTCGTCTGCTCGGTCAACAACACAGGCTACAGGATAATTGCGAAAATTAAGCAAGCGCTTCTCGAGCCAAGGACCATGTTAACCCGCTGGCGCCCCACTAAGCAGCTGATATTCGTGTTCCAATTTAGGTCTTTGTAGCAATCAAGAAGTCATTTTAACGAATATGCGGGTTATGTATTATACTACGTACCATGTCCCACTAAAGCGATATTAGCATATACCTCGGGTTGAAATATGAGCTTAGTTGCCTAGCTATTAAGTGAACTGCTGAATAGAAGTATATTTGACAGACAGAGAGATGCTACCAACTCAGCCAAATGGTTCTAGCCGGCAGCACGGAGACGAATGCGGACAAACTGAAGGAAGTTTTCATCGGAGATTCGCCCAGAACCTTTCTGCATTGAACTTGACATCGAATCCTGAACGGTAAAATGAGTATTCCTTTGTGGACGGACAACCTGAGCAATGTAAACGTATATTGTTGCCGGCTTCGACGGGGGTATAATATACATATTGGAGGCGCGATAGATCATAATGTCGTGAGAGCTTCTAACTTCGCGAGACGCGTACCCCACCTTTCGAAAGCAGAGAATTTCTGTCATTAATCGCATGCAGCGAGCAGGTTTTCTAGAATCAAGTAATTGCGTAATCAGCCATACTCCTTCGGTGTGGTCAAGATGAATAGCCAACGCACTGACCGGCGTGGGTGGCTCAATCGTGAAGCTAATCGAACACAACCAAACTCAAGAATATCAGCTATCGAACATTCCCATTAACTTGACTGCAACATTGGTGTTCCCTCCAGTGAAACACCTCGTCTGTTGTCCTCAGTCCACTGTTCTACGTCTTTATAAAGAAACCACTTATCAGTTACCAAGTAGTCGTCAATTTAAAATGTGATTCGAGGCAGACAAGAAATCAAAACGTTTTTCCGTGATTCCTCCCCATCCAAGAAATCGAAAGCATGCGACCGTGTCTCGTGAAGTACACGGGCTTTCAAATACGTGAGAGAAGGAAACAATCTACTGAGGCTTCACCACACTAATACACACTCAGGCGAACTTAAGAAATATTCGGACCTTCGTCAAATTACATTGCTCGCCACCACGTCGACAACAAGTGTCCGTGAAAGCCGTCAGAGACGCGGAGAGGCGCAAAGCGACCTGTTCCGGCTGGTTCCTGGTTTTCCCACTTGGTGGCGTTCCTTTTGCTGGAGTCGCGAATACAGTTCTCAGAGTTATTTATTCGTCAGGCTGACGTGTCTATTGTTCATTGTTTGCAAATACATCCGGTAGACATTTGAAAAGATTATAATTGCTCTAATCACATGTCCTTCCGGTCATTTTTTTTTTGTTATTATGAGTTTTTGGGGTGTTTTTCCTAAATGATTGAGCCACTTTGTCACCTCATTTTTTGTTTCTATGAATTGACAGGGTTATCAGGTTATATCTCGAATAGCTTTTTCTATCTTTGTTAAATGACAAAAGAAAATCGAAGATCTTGGCCGCCGTGGAGGCATGGCCGGCTACTCCATGATGCTCCATGGCCTTTTCAATTTGCTTCAACTTCTGAGTAGTTTTTTTGTTTTTTTTTGTTTCCTAGTTTGATGAAGTGTCATATCAACTGGCGTAGTTGACGGTCGATATTTCTTTTTGTTTTATAGCAATACCTTCGAAATAATTACGTTACTAAAATGTGCGCTAGGCGAATTTAGAACGCTCAGATTTAATGAAAGCATGCACATTAAAAATGAGCGGTTTCATTTAGATTCAGGCTGTGGCACACAATTTTCTCTTTTTTTCATTTTTCTTCAGGTTTTTATAATATGGTGTATACTACACGAAAAACAGTACATTTGATTAAAATTTTAAAACTCAGATATGTTTGTTTTGAAGGTTTAGGATCCCAAAGAAGCAGACAAGGAGGGCGGGGGTTAGTAAAACGTATTTGATTCGCGCTCCAACCCAAACTATTATCGAGAGACCCCAGGACTTTTTAGGGTAATTTACGAACAATGAATACTCAGACAAGCGTTTAAGTTATGCGTATTTATTTGAAACTACTAATTTTGTGAAATGTCTCAAACATGCCACATGTAGTTCCTACCAAATTATATAAATTGCACAATTTTATTACTTGTTTACACCAAAGAATATGTTGTTGAAACGATAAGCTTCAAATTTCTTACAAAAATCAGCACGCGTAACTTTTTTGTTTTGTATACATTTCTTTTTAAAATTTTAGCCTGCACATTATTTGCGAGTCGGGAATACTTAGTATACGTCGAAGTGTCAAGCCTCTAGTTAGGCTATAAAGCCGCAGCTGCCGACAGTGAGCTACGGAAACTCGCTGTCAGTATCAAGTTCGCATAAGTATTAGGCCTAAACTATTCCCTGTCTATGACTTCGGCACGCGCATACTAAAGAGCTAAAAGAAAGGAACCCAGAATATGGGAGACGAGATAATAAATCAAAAATCAAAAAGGCGAAATTTTTAAAGCTGTTGGTATTAGTGTCGAAATATTGATATGTACGTTTTTGTTTTCTCATTTATTCGTTAATTTATTCAGGAAATGACACTTTTGTACGCGGCATCAATTTGTAAGTGAAACTCCTAAAACTCTAAACGGATAAGAAGAATAATGTTTTCGGCAAAAGCTTTCACACACGCATGTTAACCTTTTTTCTTACAACATTTCATGTTGTGAATGTACTAAACCTTATTTAAAAGTTTGCGTCCCTTATTATTACAGAGCTTACTCTAAAAATATAGGGGTTCAATGACTAATCGTTTGGGATTGCGTGTGAATCAAGTAGTCATCCACCGCAGTCGTGAGAACCTTCCTGTGTTTCCCCTTTCCCTTTTTTGGGGGATATCTTTTTTTTTTTTTATTTTAAACTAAACGAGTGCGACATTTCAAATAAGAAGCGTTGATTTTCGTGCGGTACATGCCACGAAATATTCTAAAATCAATAAAAATACAAAAAGTCATAATGCTTGAATCTAAATGATGTCGCCAAATATATGAATTTTTTTAAATGTCAATAACTAGATAGTTTGTATATCGCTAAATATTTACGCAATGGCATGGAACGCGTTTTTAGTTCTCGACTTAGTATAGCAGGTTACTTGCAGACGTGAATGTTTCCGTTGAAATTAAGTTTAAGAAATGCTGACGGGTAATTTGTGTGCCAAGAAAAACGGTACGAAAAATTTCCTCCAAGCAATAAGCCGACACAAATCCACCACTGCCACACCGGGATCGTTCAAAAAATATACTGTAAACGACTGAATTATCGCGAGAACCTAATTTTCGCGAATTTCGCGAATCGCCCACGATTCGCGAAAAATACGTCCTGCGAAAAATTCGGGCAATATGTGAACGCTACGGAAGCTACACACGATTCCCGAAATTTAGAGTCCGCGAATTTCAAATTTTCAGCTTTAGCCCGATTCGCGAAACTTTGATCCCGCGAAAATTAAGTCGTTTACAGTATATATTTTGAACCATTTTGATTTTACCGAGGCTTGTTTCTGGAGCTAGTAAAAGACTAGCAACACTACCACGGAG